AAGAGGGCTGGGGTTGTGGCTCAGCGGTAGAGCACTCGCCTCACACGGGTGAGACCCTGGGTTCAATCCTCAGCACCGCATAAAAATAAATAAACAAAATACAGATATTGTGCCCATGTATAACTAAAAAAAAATTTTTTTTAAATACTCCAGAAAGAAAGAGTATGTGTGGGGGGGAGAGAGAGGGAGAGAGAGGGAGAGAGAGAGGGAGAGAGAGGGGGAGAGAGAGAGAGAGAGAGAGAGAGAGAGAGAGAGAGAGAGAGAGAGAGAAAGAGAGTCAAAGTGCTAATAACTGTTGATGGGCATAGAGAACCTAACAGGTTGTCTACTTTTGTTTATAACTGAAATAATTTCATTACAAAATGTTTTAAAAAATTAAAAGTGGTTAACAAATAAAATCAGAAGATGAAATAAAAAAGAAAGCTTTATGTGATATAGTAGAAATAAATCCAATTGTATCAGCAATCAAAATATGCTATTAGGCAAAATAAATTTTAAGATATTATTCAAGTTAAAGAGGGTCATTTCATAATAATGAAATTAAATTTACCATGAAGATATAATTTTAATTTTGCATGCATATAATAATATAACCTTAAAAATACATAAAATTGGCTGAACTATGAGAAATTAATAAATCTACTACTAAAGAAGACTTTAAACTTACTTCTCTCAGTGACTGAAATTTGAGCTAACAGAAAACTAATAAGGATATAGAAGATTTGAACAAAGTATGTAATCAGTTCAGGCTAATAACATGCAGAATCCTATGCATAACAGTAGCCAATACATACTATCCCCACCCCACAGGAGACATGAAAAGCCATTACGTATGAGACCATTAAGGCAATTTCAGCAAACAGAGAATCATAAGCACAATGCAATTAAGTTAGAAATCAATACAAAAAGAGAAATTTAAAACCTTATAAATTTCTATGTAAAATATCCACTTCTAACTCACTCCAGGGTAAAAGAAACAAACCATAAACATTAGAAAATATTTCTGAACAAAAATGAAAATACATTATTATTATTCAGCAGTGAAAGAGAAATAAGCTACCAAAATACATTACAATATGGATGAACTTCAAAAGTATGATGTTAAGTGAAAGAAGCTAGACACAATATCACATGTCCCATGATTCCAATTATAAGGAATATGCAGGAAAGGCAAATCCATACAGACAGGAAGCAGATCTGAGGTTGCCTAGGGATGAGATAAGCGTAGAAAATGAATGCAAACAAGCAGGAAGTTTTTGGTTGTGGCAAAAATTAGACTGTGTGATTATTGCTTAACTCTATAAATACACTAAGAATGTGAATTTTATACTTAACAAGGGTGAATTTTATGATATGTAAATTTTATCTTAGTAAAGTTTAAAAATGTTTTTGGAATGCAGCTAAGTAATACTTGAAGTTTACAATCCAAACAAATTGCATTAGAAAATAAGATTGACAATTAATGACCTAGAATTCCAACACAAGAATTTTTCTTAAAAAGAAAAAAAAAAAAAAAAAAAAGAGCCACACATGGTGGCGCATGCCTGTAATTCCAGCGGCTTGGGAGGCTGAGGCAAGAGTATCACGAGTTCAAAGCTAGCCTCAGCAACTTAGCGAGGTCCAAAGCAATTTAAGCAGACCCTCTCTCAAAATAAAATATAAAAGGTCTGAGGATATAGCTCAGCTGGTAGAGTTCTTGCCTCATATGTACAAGGTCCTGGGTTCAATCCCCAGCACCACAAAAAAATTTWAAAAAAAAATTTAAAAAAGCAGAAAAAGAAGATAGTAATAATAAAGAGCAGATTAATTAAATAGAAAATGAAGATACAAGAGATAAAATTAATAAAGGCAAAGTTTTTTCTCTGAAAAATAAAAAATACTAAGACAAATTTCTAAGAAGAAATTATAAGATATAAGAGTGACACCTATAATTCCAGTGACTCTGGATGCTGAGGCAGGAGGACTGCAAGTTCCAGGCTAGCCTCAGATACTAAGTGACATCCTATTTCAAAATAAAAAAAGGGCTGGTGATGTGCCTAATAGTTAAGTATCCCTGGGTTCAATCCCCAGTACCAAAAAAAAAAAAAAGAGCAAATGATGTCACGACAATAAATTTTCTCATTTAGAGAAAATTGAGTTTCCTAGAAATACGTGACCAAACTGTATAAAAAATTTCTACAAGAAAAAAAAAACATGAAAAGTTAAATAGATCTCTGAATCTATAGTTTAAAAACAAGCCAGGCAAGGTGGTGCACACCTGCAATCAATCCCAGCTACTCAGAGGCTGAGGCAGAAGAATGACAAGGTTGAGGCCAATCTGGGTATCTATGGGACACTCTCTCAAAAGAAAATTTAAAAAAGGTTGGAAATCCTCAGCACAGAAAAAAAAATTCTATTCAAGAATAGGTGCAAAAATTCTAAACTAAATATCAGACATAAAATCAATATGCTAAAATATACATCATAACCTTGGTGGAATGCTTCAACATCAAACATATATCGATGTAATGCAACATATTAACACACTGAAAGAGAAAAACTAAATGATCATCATTGCAAATAGATAGAGAAAAGGCATTTGAGAGGCTGGGGGTATAGCTCAGTTGTAGAGCACTTGCCTACCACGTGTGAGGCACTAGGTTTGATCTTCAACACTACATAAAAGTAAATAAAAAAAAATAAAGGTATTGTGTCTATCTACAACTAAAACATTAATTAAAGGCATTTAGTAAATTCAATACCTATTTATGATAAAAACTCTTTGACAAACTAAGACTATGAATAAATGCTTATAACCCATATAAGGCCATCTACCTAAATCCTGCAGCAAATAGTATACTTAGAGGTGAAAGTTTAACAGGTGTCCTGTTAAGTATCCCTGGGTTCAAATAAGAAACAAGGTTCAAGATTTCCACTAGCACCGAATCTAATCAACAGTGCAGCAGAGGTCTGAGGAATGCATAAGGAAAAGTAATAAATGATTTACTGATTAAAATGAAAACAACCAAACTACCCCTTCTCCCTGTTTCTTTTCCTTCCTTTGTTTTTTCAGACTATATGATTATCTAGAGTAAAAACTTTGGAGAATCTATAAGTGAATTATTAGAATTAACAAGAATTTAATGAGGTCAGGTGGGTACAGTGGTGCACACCTATAATCTCAATGACTCAGGAGGCTGAGGCAAGAGGATTAAAGGTTGCCTTGGAGATTTAGTGAAATTCTATTTCTAGGGCTGGGGATGTGGCTCAAGCGGTAGCACGCTCGCCTGGCATGCGTGCGGCCCGGGTTCGATCCTCAGCACCACATACCAACAAAGATGTTGTGTCCGCCGAGAATTAAAAAATAAATATTAACAATTCTCTCTCTCTCTCTCCCCTCTCTCACTCTCTCTTTWAAAAAAAAAAAAAAGAAAAAAAAAGAAATTCTATTTCTAAAAAGGAAGAAGGGCTGGGGTTGTAGCTCAGTGGTGGAGTATCTGTGGGTTCTGTGCCTAGTACCATAAACTAAAACAAAAACAGGGGCTGGGGCTGTAGCTCAGTTGCATAGTGCTTGCCTAGCAAGTGTGAGGTTCCTCAGCACCACATAAAAAAATAAACAAATGAAATAAAATAAAGGTATTCTGTCCATCTATAACTACAAAACATAAAAATAATAATAAAAAATAGAAACAAAACCATTCAATGATTTGATAGTTGTAATACAATATTTAAAAATAAATTGCAAGCTGAGCATGGTGGTTTGCATCTGTAGTCTCAACTATTTGGGAGGCCAAGGCAGGAGTTTGAGACCAATCTGGGCAGCACAGTTAAACCCTGTTTCCAGGAGGAAAAAAAAAAAAAAAGGCACTTCTAAACTCCAAACACAAAGTTTAAAAAAACACTTTCAGCCAGGTACAGTGGCGCATGCCTATAATCCCAGCAGCTCAGGAGGCTGAGACACGAGGATCACCAGCCTCAGCAAAAGCCAGACACTAAGCAACTCAGTGAGACCTTGTCTCTAAATAAAATACAAAATAGGGCTGGGAATGTGGCTCAGTGGTGGAGTACCCCTGAGTTCAATCCCCAGTACCAAAACAGACAAACAAAAAGACTACTATCTCCTTTAAATGTATATCAAGTTGGTAATATGATCACAGAGGAAAAATAATTAATTCAAATATCTTTTAAGCACAGTACTCTGTATATTCTTAGTATAATCTAAGAAGAGCAGGAAATGCAAAGCCAATTTGAACTTTACAGATTAAACTACTAATTGTAGGTTGTTGTTGCTAATGGTATGGGTATAGTAATCAAGTAGCCACTCTGTACTTTCTGTGGTTGAGACAAAGAAAGTGGTGGTGGTGGGGGACATCTTTACAGAAAAATGACAGCTAGGACAGTGGAAGGGATGGCAGAGCTGGAGAGACATGATTTTGAAACTAGCACTTCAGGAACTCATTTAAGCAAGGATATCAACAAACACTAAAATCACTGGGTGAAAGGTAGTTGAGGAACAGCACAGTTACATCATCTCAAAGTGAAATCCCATGGGGTAATTATCAAGGACAAAGGAAAAAAGTTAATTTTATAATAGAGGAGTGTGGTAGATACCAACTTAATCAAGTGCTGAAACTCAGAATGGACAATAACTAGACCACTGACATTATGAGATCCAGTATGAAGTATGTGACTTCCCCCATGTAGGATTTTCACTAAAAATGTGAGACTTAAGTCTATTCATGAAGAAGCAACCAGAAATCCAGACTGTGAAATATTTCACAACTGGACTGAACTCTAGAACAACACTGTCCCTCTTCCCCACAAGACCGTGCTTCTTCAGCTATCCTGAGAGAACAGAGCAGGAAACTGGACTGAGCCGACTATACAATCAAGTGTCAGAAGTTAAGGGAAGGAATGGCAACAGGCCCCAGCAAGCCAAACGCAGTGCTAGGAACCTGAGACACAGACAATCTGTGCATGCGTGGCAGGGCAGAGAGCACAGTGGGGTTTTGGGTACTTACTTCCCGGATGGCCCCGTCACAGACCCGGATGACATTAAGGAATGTGGGCATGACTTGGGGCAGAAACTGCACACACTTGAGCCCCAGGGACTTGAAGATGAAGGTGATGGCCTGGACAACCATGGTGTGATGGTGAGAGAGGGACTGGTCTCGGAAGATCCGCATCAGGGCCACCATGGACACAGCTGGGTAGAATTCGTCCAGAGGCAGGTTTCCCATGTTGACCAGCATTTCACTGGTGCTATAGTCCGCTGGGACAAAATGACAAAGAGAACCATAAGCTATCGGTGACATGACTTTAACTTCAAGCAGAGCAGGGCTAACAGTAAACTAAACCTCCTCAAAAACATTAGCATCCTATTATTTTCCGGGGTATATTGTAACACCACTGGGAATACAGGATCTGTTAGGAAGTGATGAGCAGCAACTCCGTGAGACCCTGTCACCATCAAGGACCTGCTATTACCCACACCACCAAAGCCTAAAACAGCACATGATGGGGTTTTTAAATATTGATGTTTAACTCTTCTTACCATTACAGTTCACAACTTCAAAGCTAAAGTCATCAATAAAAACAATTATTCCCACAAATGAAAGTAAAGATAATTAAATTAGGCAAGCATCTGTTCCACAGCTGCCGGACCCCTCTAGGGAATTCAGACAAGTTAACAGGAAAATGCTCCCTGACCTGTACAGCAAAGATTCCAAGCACTCTGCCCAGGGTATTAACATGCAGCAAGGGTGAGAACTGAACCAGGTGGAGAGAAGGATGTGGCTGCAGCTGTGTTCTTCACTTTCTTTCTGGTACTGGGGAAGGAAACCACAGGCACTCTACCACTAGCTGTATCACCAGCCCTTTTTATTTTTTGTTTTGAAACAGGGTCTCATTAAGTTTCTCAGTCTAGCCTCAAACTTGTGATCCTCCTGCCTGAGCCTCCTGGTCACCGGGATTACAGGTGTGTACTACCCCCAGGCTCAAGCTTTGCTCTCGAGAGCAGTGATCTAACAAGATAACATCAAAAGTACACTTTTCTAATATCTAGAAGGAAGAAGGAATTGGAAACAATATGATCCTACCTATAGTGTTTAGAAATAAATTATTTTATTTTAGGAAAATAATACTCGGCTGGAATAGTTGGGACAATTACTACTGAATCTTGATTTTCAGGAACAGGTCTGTCCTGATAGACAGTGGGCCAAGTCTAGAAAACTATCCTGTGTCCCACTCCTGACCCCATTCTCTTGGGCTACTTGTCAAAGGCAATAGGGCTCAAGGGCCAAACCTTTCATGGATTTCTATTTGCTACTAGTTTTTCTATGCCCTGGGCCTTGCATCTGATGGGAGAATGAAGTCTATCATTTTCTTCCTTGGGTGCAATAATAACAAAGAACCCCAGAGAGGCACTAACAAAAGAGTAAGAGATGAACAGAGGTGATGGGGTGATAATTCCTATCTCACTCATTGGTACCAAGAAAGGAGTACAGAGAGCCTCACTAAGCCTGTTAACCACTGGAAAGAAATCTGGACAGACGAGGGGACTCTGGCCACACTGTGAGTGGTATCCCCAGCCCACTGAAAAACAGGAAACCGTGGACTTTTCATTTTTTTTTAATCATTAATTTTTTAGTTATAATTGGACACAATACCTTTGTTTTATTTATTTATTTTTATGTGGTGTTGAAGATGGAACCCAGGGCCTCGAATGTGTTAGGCGAGCGCTCTACCACTGAGCCACAACCCCAGCCCTGGGTTGTGGTTGCTCTAAAAATGTGCTATAATTTCAGTATCCAAGTCTCTCTCTAAAAATGACCAGTAAGGGCTTCCTGAGTCAGAATGTGGCAGATCGTTCACAGCCCCCCAACTTACAGGAATCCTGACTTGACTTGGATTCTGACAGGCTGACTGCAGACGCGTCCCGGGACTGGTCAATCATGCCGATGTTCACTTTGTGCTTGTAGGGATCCAAAGCCCCTAAAAGCCCTAACACACGGATAGCCTAAATAGGAAAAGAAAACATTCACCACAACATCTGATACCACAGCTTTCATAAATATTCCTCTCAAGTTCAAAATCCCTAATTCATAGCCCAAAATGAACAGGTTCATGATCAAAATGGAGAAGGATAGGAAGTCTGATCCTACTGCTTCTCTCTCTCCACAGTCCTAGCAAAGCCTCCTAAGACAAGGTTCCCATGTTTCCTACCTCTCTCCTTGTGCCCTGGTTCTGTTCGGTCTTCAGAAAATTCAGCAGCACCTCAAGCAAGGTGGGGTACTTCCTGTAGGGCTCCACCACATAGCCAGTGCTGGCTACTAATTGCCCCAGGGTCCACAGAGCCACCTGGAAGGGCAAAAGATCACTTGGTTCATTGAATCAAAGAATAGAAAGCATAGTCATACTCTTCATATCAGGATTGTTAGAGCCTATTATATTTCTAGAAAAAAGTTTCTAGAAGAGACACTGTGAACAGAAATCCTGAGAGGGCATAAAAACATGGCTATTCAAGTACAAACACAATCACTATATCAAAAGATAAATACTCTCTTAAAGGAAACAGAGTTCTTTCATATCCCACATGATTTACAAGTGATTCAAAAGGAAATTAAGGTTATTTTAAATTTTAATCTAGTCATCTAATAAGCTCAAATGATGGGAGGGTTATTTGAAGCTGTCTGAACTACAGCCTGTGGCCAAGGCTTTATTTCTCCTTCAGAAGCTGAGGCTCTGATAACAGAGCTACATTCTCCTTGGCACAGGGGAAATGGTGCTGCTCATCTCTAATGCTGAAAGGGGCTGCAGGTCAGGATGACCGTAATTCTAGCTCCAAGTATTTTTCAAGAATTTTTACTTATTCAACAAATATCATCAAATGTCTACTCTATATCCAATTCTGTGCTAGGTAGGCACTGGATGGAGAAATGGAGGTGAATAAAGAGAAGCAAGGTCACTGGCCCCGGTGTGTGTGTGGGGGGTCTTCCCTGCTCCAACAGGAAGTGTAGTGCTCACCTGCCTTTTGGCCAACAGAGAGGAGTCCTGGAGCATGTCCATGATGATGATAAAAAGTTCATCCACCCACTTCCTCATTTCTAGGCCACTGACCTGCAAAATAAAGAGGGTAGTAGAAATTACACATTTAAAAGGATTTTGACTTCTTCAGAGGTTAAAGAATTCCCTTCCACAGTGTAAAAAAAGTGGTTGTCATCTCACCTGAGCCAATTCTCCTATAGTGGCCAAGACGTTATTGATCACCCCTGGGTTTGGATCAGGGTCCGGATCTTTCAGTTTCAAAATTAAAGCCTATAGAAAGAAGGTAGGAAAATATGATTACAAAACAGAATCTAAAAGAAATATATATATATTTTTTACATAAGTAAAATTCACCCAAGAGATCATTTCAAATTATATCTAGGCTTTATGAATCTAGGATCTTTTGGATTCCCAACTTTTCTTTGGATTCCCTAACTTTTCTCCTTATCAGGTACAAGTCTAACATCTGAGAAAGCTGGGAAACACCATGATTTAAAAACGTCTCCATGTCGCCTCTCAGCTCTATCTCTGATTATTTATCCAGATGAACAGGTATTATTAAAAGAAAAAGAATGAAACAAAACAGGATTGCAGATATAGCTCAGTTGGTAGAGTGTTTGCCCCGCATGCACAAGGCCCTGGGTTCAATCCCCAGCACCACAAAAGCAAAACAAAACAAGAATAAAACAAAAGAAAAACTTCACATAACTCTAATGCATTCAGATTTGAAGGTTGTTTCAAGTTTTAAATCTCATTTTTCTTCATGTTGGGGGGACTATTTCAGGTAGCTGTCCAACTCCTTTCCAAGCACATTTGATGAGGTACCTGAAGCATCATATCTTATACCTTATAAAATGAGAATTTTTCTATAACTGGTGAGATTCTTGGTACTCTTTAACTGAAGATACTTGAGGTGGTCCTTGTCCCCAAGTCTGGGAACAATGACATGATCTCCTTTGTTCAGTGTACCAGTGAGTACCAAAATACTCCCACGCTATCCCAATCAGGAGAAGTGCCTATCTTGCTGTCTCTTGTGCATTACCTTCAGAATAGGCTCCATGTAGGGGCGGATGAGTCGGGGGGCATTGGAGACCAGGTGCCCCAGCATGCGGGCACTCTGCTCTTTGATTCTCCCAATGCCGCTGTGCTCCAGCTCTGTCAAAATCTGTGGGAAAGAAAGGCTTACTATGGTAGATGACATTACAGAGAAGAACTGTGCATTACTAGGGAAAACGTGGCAGGGCAGGGGAGAAAGAAACCAGGTCTCCACGGTGGATTAAATCACTGCCAGATACCCAACAAAGGACTTCTCTGCAGCTGACATAGTAGCCTTGGGATACAGCTACGACGGGAGAAACATGATTTGAATGCTGCCCCTGCTCCTTCCATCACAGTACTTAAGTCCCACAGTCCTCTCTTAACAGTGCAGCAGAGAGAGCTGTGATTAGGGTTTGCAGAAACGAGGACTGAAAAGAGGGCTCCCTGGGAAAAAAAATCTTTCTTTTTTTTTTTTAAAATGGACCTGAGAAATGGATCCATAGAAGTCTCTTCATAATTTTTTTTCAAAGAGAGAGAGAGAGAGAGAGAGAGAGAGAGAGAGAGAGAGAATTTATTTATTGATTTTTTTAAGCTTTCGGCAGATACATCTTTGTTTGTATGTGGTGCTGAGGATCGAACCCGGGCCACATGCATGTGAGGCGAGCGCGCTACCGCTTGAGCCACATCCCCAGCCCGAAAAAAATCTTTGTCTAAAAAGTAAATCAGTAAAAGGGCCTATAAATAATGACAAAGGAATCAAAGAACAGATTAGCTTATGATGATGAGAGAAATGTTAATATTCCATATCTGTCTTAAGCACATGTAAATAAACCCAAGAGTTAGAAATTACAACAATGGGACCCCCTTGAGCCTTACTGAATAGAAGTGACATGTTTGTTCTCACTGACATCCTTAAAACACAAGACACCAGAACATCATGCTCACAGCAGTACAGGTGGCTACAACTTGATACAGACTGACTTATGGATAGCTGAAGTTGTCAGAAGGAAATCTCTGAGCAGTGAGGAAAGAAATATCAAAGCCCCGGTTAACTCTACTACCCAGAAGAATCTCTCTGTCTGAGGTTATTGATTTAATAACCCGATCTCTGGATCCCCATGACAGCCTGTTTTTTTCCCAGTCACAGCAGACAGCAGACAGCAGCAGAAAATGGAGATACCAAGAACAGACCCATGACAACAAAAAGAGATGGCCGGCTCAAGGAAATGTGCCCTGAGGAGCAAAGCACAACCCTGTGGGCGGGGCAGAGTGAAGCCAGGGATTTTGTTGCAACCTGATGACCAAGACCTTAAGAAAAAGCTAGCACTGACCAAGCATGAACACGTACAATTTAATTTTGGAAAATCTAGACTGAAGTTAAAAAAAAAAAAAAACATATGTTTTTAAAATTTTGAATCTTTAAGGGTTAAAATCAGTACCTTCATTCAATAGAGCTTCCCATTCTTCAATATGAGAAAACTGAGATGGCCTGAGAACTGTTAGCCTCAAGAGGGCAGAAGCCATGACTGGGGGCTCACAGATATCCTGCCAGAATCCAGTAGGACCCAGGATACAGCAGGTGCTTCAAAAAGTCTTGCTGAATGAACAACATGCTATTTTCTCATTAGGAGATATTTCCAAACTTGCTGAATGCAATACGAGCTGGCAGGCTCAGCAACGACTTCTTTTCCTTCCAAAGCTTTAGTATCTTACAAAGACTTAACATGACAGGCAATCCTAACAAGGGCAGCAGTTAAAGGGATAAATCACTAGGCTAAACACAGAGGTGCCAACATAATTACAATTTCCTAATTCATTGATTGATGATATAATTTACAACCCCTTTTACTGTGGTTGTAAAAGTGACAAATCGTGACAAATTGTGAATAAATGACATTTCTCCAGGGTCTAGAGTTACATATATTAATGATTTTCTGTTTAAGTCCTTTGTATGTTACAAAAAGCAAACATTTCAAAAGAAGCCTGGGGTAGGATCAGAAAGCAGAGGGCGAGGTGGGGACAGGGTGAAGGTGGGAGGTAGGAAATGACTGGGTGAGTAACATAAAAGACCGGGAAGAGGTAGGTGGAAGTAATTTGGGGCAGGAAGGACTGGACCAGGTATCACTCACAGAGAGCTTCCTTGGTAACTGAAGACAAAAATTGAAAAGCCAGGGGCTAGGGTTGTGRCTCAGTAGTAGAGTGCTTGTCTAACATGCATGAAGCACTGGGTTTGATGCACAGCACCACATTAAAAAAAAAAAAAACAAAAAAACTAAATAAACAAAATAAAGGCATTGTATCCATCTACAACTAAAAATATTTAAAAAAAAAAAAATGAAGAGCCAGGTTTCAGCAGGAATTGAAAATTCTACCTGATCTAGTAGCTATGCCTGCCTGAAACTCCTGTAGGCTGTAGTCTAAGCTGTAGTCTAGCTTGGCAAATCACATTATTTAAGAATAAAAGCCAGAGATCCCCAGTCCAAAGGCAATGGCCACTGAAAAGGTGTTGGAACCATGCCCACATGTTATTTTTAAGAACAATGACCTCTGTGCTTGACCTGGCATCAGCAAGAAAAGTTGTAGAACAGACAGGAAGGTACCAGAGGACTCTTCCAGCAGCAGCAGATGAGTGAGAGAATGAAGAGCACCGAGACAGGGGATCACTGATGACTGCCAGGAAGAAAGAGCCACATGAGAGATTATCCTGGGACTAAGATGCATTCTGGAGTCACACTGACAAGAGGCTTATGAGGTAAAAAGCACTAGAATTATAATAATGAAGCTAGGAAACAAGGAACTCCTGAGTCAAATGTGGCTTTACCAGTTATCTCCACTTTTCCCCCTCTTTGTCCTCCATGCTTCTTCCCTAAGCAGCTCTCACTCTCCACTGCCTGTAAGTCTGTCACCCCCATTACCTGGATGAGCATCTTTCGCAGGAAAGGCATGACGAAGGCAGGGTTCATGCTACTGAGTCGGCCCACAGTGCAGATGGCCAGCTCCCGGATCTCAAACACCTGGTCATTTAGAGCCACAAAGAGGGCCTGCAAATTCTCTGCCTGGGCGAGGTGTGCATCAAAGCGCTCATCCAGGGATGCCAAGACGCAGTAGCGGATGTCAGGGTCTGCAAGAGTAATTAAGCCTTTGAACCCCTCTTCACCATCCCATTTTCCAGCTTCTACTTCCACTGCCATCAGCGTAGGGGGCGGACTCTGGACAACCTGCTCTCATCTAACCTACTGCTATTCTTTTCTCTCCTTAGGAGTAAAGGAATCAAAGGCAGATTATCTTATATCAACAGGCTGTAACAGCCAAGCCTTATGCCTTCACAGGGAAAAATCTGAACATCACCTGCTGCAGCTCTCCAGAGAGGCCATGTAATAAAACCAGTAACTTCCAACTGCCCCAGCTTTTGAATCTCCCAGACTGCTTTTATCTGTAAACTTTACCAGGATCTGTGATTCCAACCACGAGCAGTTTGCTGAGCACATCTGCCACCACCTGCACAGCAGTCTGGCTGACCACGTGAGCATGGCCACTGACGAGGTGGATGGAGGGCGTGAGCAGGCGGGAGCAGGTGCGGGCAGCTTCCATGCGGATCTCCTTGTGCTCACTGTTCAGGAAATGATCCGCACAGTGGCGGACAAACTGGGTCAGGGAGTGGCCTGGATACAAAAGCAGACAGAAAATAGAGTAAGTACTGCTACTTTGACAGGTAGGTCTGCAATTTGTTAGCTGCACTTTCCATTTTGTGGCGACTCATTTCATGTTGCACAAGGTGTTAATCAATAAGCCTGGCTCAGAACTCTTCCCTGGTTTCCAGTCAGCAGAAAGGCAGGAGAGGTGGAGAAGGAGAGAGAAGGTGCCCCAGCTCTAATCCTTCCTGTAGTCCTTCCAAAAAATATTCTGACCCAAACTCTTCCACTTCCAGAGGGGGCAAAACCATTTTGATCAAGATTATCTTGTCTATTTAGTTCCCAGATTTGAACATCAAAAAGGGAATAGGCTAGGTTTAAATTCAGCCCATTTTATTCATTAGAAAGAAATTATGGTGGGTGTCAGTGAATGTTAGATGAGGGAGCCATGATGGGAAGCCACAGCTGGCCATTAGTCTCAAGACAGGGGACTTAGGTTTTCTATACTCCTTGTCTCCCTATAGCCCTGATAAGCCTTCCCTACATGATCTGAAATTTTTTTTTTTTTTATTGGTTGTTCACAACATTACAAAGCTCTTGACATATCATATTTCATACACTAGATTGAAGTGGGTTATGAACTTCCAATTTTACCCCAAATGCAGATTGCAGAATCACGTCGGTTACACATCCACAATTTTACATAATGCCCAATTAGTAATTGTTGTATTCTGCTACCTTTCCTATCCCCTACTATCCCCCCTCCCCTCCCCTCCCATATTCTCTCTCTACCCCATCTACTGTAATTCATTTCTCTCCTTGTTTATTTTCCCATTCCCCTCACAACCTCTTATATGTAATTTTGTATAGCAATGAGGGTCTCCCTTCATTTCCATGCAATTTCCCTTTTCTCTCCCTTTCCCTCCCATCTCATGTCTCTGTTTAATGTTAACATGATCTGAAATTTTGAAAGTATCCATTTTTCCTCCAAAAATCTCTCTCTCTAGGTATTAATGTGGATTTATCTGCAGCTTCGAATTCCAAACTGAACTACATAGTACAGCATTCTTGGAAATCATACTACCACAGGAACAAACACCTAAAGCCCCTGCTCATACATTTTCAAGCATAAATATTTCAGTTCCTTGGAAGTGGGAAGGTGAGGAGGTAAGGGGTTCCATCTCTGACTTTTCCATTTCTTAAGCATTATTTCCTTGGATCAATCTACCCCCCAACACAGTAGGGACAAAGAAGCAAACAGTAAGTATTAATGGTACATGGACAGATCCTGGGAAGGAGAAGCTGCTACAGAATCAGCAAGTGGAAGACCTTGGCAAAATCCAGGAATGATAGGCAGCTTTATCCCTTTCTTAGATTCCTGGCATCGATCCTTGCCTGGGCAAGAGCCACTGCATTTCTTACCTTCAAACTCAAAGCTTCCAAGGGTTCGGAGGGCAAGAGTGATGCTGCCCACATCACTGGCCTCAGGGAGGGTGGTGAGGCCAGGAGAGGCCAGCTGATGAGCCAGGCCCTTGGGCATGCCCGGGTGCCGGAGGGGTTTGTGCATAAGAACCAGAGATAACATCTTCAGTAGCCCRTCCTGAATGTCCTTCTTCAGTTGTGGAATCTGGCGGCTCAGGTCATAGAGCACAGCAGTGAGAGCAGGGCTGAGGGGAAGGAAACCAGTAATAAGGGGTTGGGCACATGACGTTCTATGGTAGAAACAGCCCTTCCTGACAAGCCAGGGGATCAGGCCCCATCACTGGTTGGTCTCCAAGTAGAAAGGATGTTATAAAATAGAGTAAATGTGCTGAATTCTCTTGGCCTGGTCTTAGATTTCAGAAAAATCTATGGGTTTCTGGTCTTCATCACAGGAGAACTTGTCAGCCATCACAGAAGACCAAGGCTCAATAAGCAAATGGGGAAGGAGATTAAGACATCATCCTTATTTTATAGATGAAGAAAAGTAAAAAGAGAGCTTATCCAATTTGCTCAATAACTTAAAACAACAGCTACAAATATTTACTGGGTGGTTCCGATAAGCCAGGTAGGGTGTTAAGAATGGCCATTATGAACTCTATTGACTCAATCCCCACAACCACCTTGCACAATAGTAACTACTACTATATTCATTTTTCAGATGAGAAAACAGAGGCTCAAATAAGTAACTTAATCAAGATTGCTTAGCTAGCTAGTGATTCAACTCTAGTCAAACTAGAATCCAAACTAGCCCGTGTCTAACCTGAGCACTCCTGCTTATCCAAACCAATATGCAACAATCATGCCGTGTCTTTCCAGTGCAGTCCTGACGCCATGAGCCAGGCCTCTCGCTAACTAAGGCAGGAAGGGTTCAAGTTTCCGACACCTACCTCAGCCCCACTGCCAGCATGGGCTCCAACAGCTCCTTGATGTCCTGCTGGATGCCTGGTCCCATTGCTCGTGCCAGCATGCTGATGCACGTGAACACTGTGGCATCCACCTGCATTGCTTTCTGCCTCCTGCAGAGAAAAAGAGTGGCTAGTTCAGTCACAATGACATTTTGTGACGTCCCACCTCAAAAGCACTTCGTGGTGAGGGCAAGTTACTCAGGCAGGGCCACCACACATGGGTGTGCAGGTTGTTTGCTCACAATTTGAGGGGGCCCATCACATCGTAGTCACTGTGGATTTAAACATTTATGACAACAATCCAGCAGAGGGCATTTAAGCACCTCAAGGAAGGAGCCCCTTATCTACATTCAGAGGCATCATGTGGGTGCTGACCAAGGTACCTATTCAGAAAGCAAACTGTACAGTGTGTTCCCCTTCAGACCAGAGGGCAGGGATAGCCATCATATCGAAAGAAGTTCTTCTCCCTGTGATGAGAAAACTGGGCTTGGGAATGAGTGGAACTTAATAATTCACCAGAACAATCCTTGCCAAAAATAAAGGGAAGAGGGGCTGGAAATGTGGCTCAAGCGGTAGCGCGCTCGCCTGGCATGCGTGTGGCCCAGGTTCGATCCTCAGCACCACATACCAACAAAGATGTTGTGTCCACCGATAACTGAAAAATAAATGCTAAAAAAAATTTTTTTTAAATAAATAAATAAAGGGAAGAGAAACAACCCTATTAACACTGACTCCCCGGCCTTAGCCAAGGGACCATGGCGCTTCAATGTGGTAGGGTGCTGAAAGTTTTGCTAGTATTTTATTCACAGGAGGTTCTTTTAGTGATAAGGAAAAAGATACTGTTTCTCTTCAGTTCTACTCAAGGACTCCTCACTTTAGTTCTTCTATCAAAATAAGACCCCTGAATGCCATGGGCAAAACCAAGTCAGATAATTTGTAAATAGTAATATAGAAAACAATGTTGGCAAGTAACATGTTCTCAGGATATTCAGCTTCTTCAATTATTTACATATATGTCATTTCACTTGGAAAAGGTTAGAATTCCACTAAGAAAGGGCTATTTTTTAATACAATCTGCAATTCCCTGCAGTGAAACGATGCATGGAATGGGCTTAAGCTCTGTGGACCTGGGATGAAGCATACTTGTTTCCCAACCAAAAAGTGCTGAAGGTAAAATCATCACAGAGATGCTTACTTATGGGCAAAGTCCTTAGGCGGCAGGGCTGCTCGGATGATGTCCAGCACCCGAGGCAAGTAGACTTTAAACTCAGACCTCACGGCCACAGAAAGCAGCCCCAGGGCCTGGAAGGCAGCTGTACGTTCCTTCTCCTTCTTGACACAGCTCAGGACGTGGTTCATGGTATCCTGGAGGTACTGGGTATCTGCGCACAGAAAAGACAAGAGTGGATGGCTCAAGGTCAGAGGTCTACATGTGCAAGTCAGAGTTCCCAGAGAGTACTCAGGTTTAAGAATCAATTAGGAAAAACTGCTGGAAAGATAAGAATTTAGAGGGCATATCTGAGAGGAAGCCTATGCTTGATAATCAAACCACAAACACATTTTTTAGAAATATTAGAAATAGAAGATGTTTTCCTTTGTGTGTGTGTGGGAGGGCTATCGGAGTTTGAACTCAGGGGCACTCAACCACTGAGCCACATCCCCACTCCCCTTTTAAATATCTTATTTAGAGATAGAATCTCACTGAGTTGCTTAGGACCTTGCTAAGTTGGTGAGGCTGGCTTTGAACTCATGATCCTCCTGCCTCAGCCTCCGAAGCTGCTGGGATTATAGGCATGTACCATCATGCCAGCCTTGTTTTTCCTTTTAATTGTAAAGAAAAAAAGGGGGGGTCTCCAAAACAGTATCACATAATTTCTCCATCTAAACTATTTTATATTATATTGAAATTTAAAAATTATACTCAATATTATTTGCAATTAGCAGGCTATTTCACTCAGCTTTGGCCTGGAAATCCTTTGCTATTACTTAGCAATTTTGCTACAATCATATGTAATAGAATAAGTTTTAGTTTACAATTTGAAAAGTCATGTGTGTTTTCATTAAGTTTATAAAAAACTGAAGTTTAAAATTTCATAAAGTTTACATGCAAAGGTATGTGATTCTTGGGTAAGTGAAGCTGAAGTGCTGTGTCCCCTCTGAAGGCTAAAATTTCTGGTTCTTGCCTCTCTTCCGTTTCTCTCCCACTGAGTCTGACCCTGAATGTGAGCACCAGGTGCACACATGACGGCAGACAAGGCAAGACCACATATCCACCAAGAAGTCAAAGGGACCAAGGGCTGCCAGAATCACCTTCAGTCAGTCCACACTGCATGGACATGTCACGCATTTCCTCTAAAAAGAAACGTCTTCTCCCACAGCTACTGTGGTCTAATATCAAGGACACATGCTGAAGGTTCAAAACAGAAGACGAAGCTGACAGAGCCCTCAAATCAGACCAAACCAATGTGGAAACTGTCCTTTTACATACAGGGGCAGCATTTTAACAGGAAATGAGCTTAAATTAAGAGTATAATTTCCTTTTCCAGATGCAGCACCCTAAGAGATTAGGTGTCTGACACTGAAGAGATTCCAACCTGGTCTTAAGGTGAGTACTTTTATAGTTCTGAAGCTTTTACCATCAGAGAGTTCAAGCAATGACTTCTCAACTGTAAGTTTTAAACAGGTGGCACTTACGCAATGAGGAACGCCTGGACTGAATTTCACTGACATATTTTGGGTATTATTTAATAAAACAACAAACCCACATCAAAAGAATAAACCAGAGGCCCTATGAGTCTTTGAATTCTGCTGCTAGGCAATCTTTTGAACATACCAGGATAACTGATTCTACAACATGCCAGACTTTGATCAAATTTGGCCTAGTTATTAGTTTCTTCTAAAGTAGACTCTGAACCCAAGATCATTTAAAACACTACTGAGCAGGAGTGTGTCTGGTCATTAAGAAAGAGAAGAACTTCTGGATGCAGATGTCAGGTGGGAAGAACAGAAAACCAAGAAAACACAGGTGATTTTCATTTTATCACTTCTCTGGTTCAGTGATTTTTATGTGACTGTTTCATCATGATCTAACATGTTCTACTTACACAGCCTGTATAATACCTTGGTAGCTAGACTTTTCCTACAGTTTCATTTGGGTTGGGCAACATATAAGTCTATGCTGGGACAGAGAGTCTGAGGGTCAGGTGGCCTTCCCCTGGTCCTGAATGCTTACTAAGCATAGGCAACATGAACCACGGTGAAGTGTAAAGATGTCTGAGCTGGACTCACACTCACTAAGTCCCTAGGAAGTAAGGCAAGGCACTGGAGTGTTATTATCTGTGCACTTCTACCATCTTTCCAAAATGGACTAGAAGTAGCTCAAGGAGGCAGTAATTAATATAATAATGGCTTCCATTATTGGAGCTTGTTCTGCCAGGCACTGTAGTAGGTGCTCAGACACTCATGCTGTTTATCTTGGGAGGCAAGGATTGTTATTTGAATTTTATAAGCCAGGGAGTGGAGGCCCAGGAAGTTGAAATAAACTGTCCAAAAGCTCACAGTTAAGTCTAAGGCAGGATCCACCCAGGTCTAAGGCTAAAGCCTATGTATTGCTAAGGGATATAATGGAAAAGGAACGTAACATTTCCAGCTGCAGCGATTCAGGAAGGCCTCCCACAGGAGCCAGTATCTGAGCTGGGCCAGAAGTCATAGCCAGGAATCCACACTGTCCACTGAAGGACAGTCAGGAGCATGGACACCCACAGCCTATGGCCTGTGGAACCTGCCTTTGAAACATCTAGTCCTTTTTTTCTGAGAATAGTGAGGCAGCTCAGTGACCACCTTGGAGGCATAAGCAGGAAGGTAACCAAGACCCTTCCTGCCTCATAGACATGCTGCTACTGCATGGTATTACCTGAAACTGCCCTTCTTTTGGTTTCCTTTAAGTCAGTTCAGGGACTTGTTGGCTTCCACATGTGGGAACTTGCCTAGCCCTAGAGCTGCCTCTCTGCCTACACATTCTGACTACTCCTGTATCTGCTGCCTCAGACATTACCAGAAAACTGGACATGAGGCAAAGATACCAGACACTAGCCCCTGCACTGGCGTTGTTTCCAGTGAGAAGCATACATAACACTTGGGAATCACCTCTCCTCTGTTTGCTTTTCCTGAGATGGGCAATGATGTCTTCCACGGACAGCCTCACCTGTGAAGGCAGAAGGTCGGAATGCGGCCAAGCGGGGCAACAAGTTAAGGATTGTCATTTGGATCAGCGAGTTCTTGCTATTCCTGCATTTCAGCACCCACTGGCACACCTGAGAGAGGAAGCATAAGGGGTTGGCAGAGGAAAGTGAGGCATGGAGCTGAAAAGAAGAGGGAGAGGACCTCTCACCACTTACCTGATCGAACTTCTCCTCCATCAAGTCTCTGCAGCACCGACTCTCCACCAGGGTGGACTTAGCGGGGCTGGGGGAAGCCCCAAATCCCATGAGGCCTTGGTGAGAGCTGTACCCCAGCAGCCCCACCAAGGCATTTGACTGCTGGGGCTGTACAACCTGGAAGCTAGTGAAGGGGGTAATGTGGCGAGGCTTTGTCCCGAAGCCCAGGAGGTCCTTGCAGTACTTATCATGCACCAGCTGCTGCTGTGTGATTTCTTCCATCTCTTCTCTTAGACGCTACACACAAGGGGAAAAAAATCACCTGTATCTGTGAGTGGTATTCAACCTGGGCACCGTGCTATTTACAGGGTAACGCATTTACCCAATTCTGAAATATAACTCCAAAGCAGAGGGTGGACACCCTTCATCTTTAGGATTATGACTTCCTCCACAACTTTGCAGAGGACCAATTTTGTTCAATTTTAGGTGAAAGAGCAGAACTTATTGAACACCAAAGAAGCCACAGGGGACCAGCTGCCCAGGGCTCTTACTCCAAGGGTTCCCTGCCCATTTTGGGAAGGCTGCTTAGCTGTGATTATGGACCTAAGATCACAGCAAAGATCCCCCTGCAAAGGTGATGGGCAGCTCATATTAGCACCCTGCTAAGGATGTTCTAGTCTCTTTCTTCTCCCCAGAAACTAGGTGTACACTCAGGCTAGTAGCTGTCATGGAATCCTGGTCCACAGGAGGTATGGAAAAGCTGACTAGTGAAGTTGAGTTAGTTGCTTAACTCACCCTCCAACTGCTCAAACTGACGAAAATATGAAAAGGTTTTCTAAACTTTTCCAAACATATGTGCATTGTTCAGATATCCTGTCTACTGTTCTTATCAAGGTCACCAATGACTCTTATGCTGCTAAATCTAATGGTCACTTCTCAGTCTTTATCTCATGTGACTTATTTGTAGCATTTGATTCAATGTTATTTCCTCCTCCTCCAGACCCCCTTTTCACCTGGCTTCCTGGACCCCAAACTCTCTGTGCTCTCCACTTTCTCTGGCTGCTTCTTTTCAAACTACCTTGGGTCTTCATCTACTGATCTCAAGTTCACAGACCCCATGTTCTCCAACTGTCCTAGTTCCTCTGTGCTTCTCATCCAGCCTCATGACTTGAAGTGGCATCTGCATGCTGACAATTCCCAAACGGCTTCTCCTGCCCACATCCCTCTCTAAAACTACTGGATATCTCACTCAGATGCTCAAGGCACCTCAATCTTAAAACAAACTCCTGACTTTCCCTCCCAACTTGATTCCCCTATCACAGTCTTTCTGTCTCAGATACAGCAACTCCCTCCTTCAAGGTGCTCAAGCCAAACACTATGATTTTTTTCTTTCTCCATTCACCACCTATGTATGAGTATATCAGCTGCTTCTTGCACTTCTATACTTCCCACTGTGGTCTGAGTTGCATAAACACCCTATTAATATTGCTGCAGTTCCCTCTTAACTGGATGCCTGGCTTTAGCCCTTGACCTTGGCCCTACAACAATCCATTCTCAACACAGTGGCCAAGGGATTCTTTGGATACATGAGTTAAATATCATTCCACTGCTCAAAATCCCCACTAGCTTCCACTGCATACAAAGTCCATTCAGTGGCCACCTAAGACCCTACGTGATCTGCGCCCACCCTGCCCCAGCTGTTCCTCTGACCCCATCTCCCAGCACCTCTCTCCTACTGGGTCTGATCAGCCCTAGGGCATTTGCTGCTCCCACATGCTCTAGCACGCTCCTGCCTGGGGCCTTTGTACCAATTGACTCAGTCCCCTGGAACGCTCTTCCCCTGACTTTGTAGTGGCTTTCTGCTTATCGCCTTCGTGACTGTGCTCAAAAACCCATCTGAGCATTCTTTATTCCCCTTCTCTCCCTCCTGGTCTCCATAGCGCTCACTACCGTGTCACTAATCACAATATATTTTTATTTATTTGGGTACTCTGTCTTCCTCTGTTAGAAATGTAATGTATTGTTCACTGCTACATTGTTCTGGCTCTTAGGGCATAATGTTGCTGGCATGCATTAGGTGCTCACTTAGTATATGTTAAATGTGTGAACAAATCATGAAATTAGAACCTTTATGTTTGCGTACTACTTTATAATTAAACACCTTCACAAGAGCTATTTCACTTAAGTCTGACAACAACCTTGTGTGTTAGGTGCTATCGTCCTCTTATACTGAGAGGAAACAAAGATCCTAGAAATGCCTAAACTACAGTGGAAAGCACCATGTTGAACTTGAGTGGGGAAATCTCCTAGTCCTGCTATTTTAGAATGCCCTCTACATATCAGGTGCTGTGTTGGGCACTTCACATGTCATCAGAAACCTCATGGGAGTCCCACGGGAAGGTATGAGCCCCTGTCAAAAATGAGGAGATTGAGAGCCAGGATTGCAAGTTTGAGGCCACTTGGCAAGACTCTGTCTCAAAGTAAGAAAATAAATAGGGCTGGGAATGTAGCTCAGTGGTAGAGCCCCCTGGATATCATTCCCAAGACCACACACACACACACACACCAAAAAAAAAGGAAGGAAAATAAGGCTTAAAGGAGTATAGTAACTTGCTGGGTTACACAGTCTACAGAGGAGTGTGGATGTGACAGACACATCCTATTGTTGTGTGGGCTGCCCCCATACCCAAGACAAAGCTATTTCTAAATAATAATTATGTCTATTAAAGCAGGAACCCCTTGGGTGAAATTCCAGCAGATACTCACAGGAAGTCTCAACATGGAACTCCACCTCCCAAATATATCCTGAATCCCACCTTCTCAGTATCTGCACCACCACCCCTAGTTGGAGCCACCAATGTAGCTTGCCCAGACTACTGTTATACAGCAGCTGAGAATGTGACCTCCAACCACAAAAAAACCTAACTGACCAAGGACCCTGAGCTGCTGTTCTGAGATCCATCCCTAAGACTGTGCCTAGCCACACTTTCCCAGGCAGCTCCCAGGCAAGACACAGCAGGGGTGCTAGGGCAGGCCTGGTCCTGGGTGCCACAGGCCTGCTCTGAAGACTCCCTAATGGTTTCTCACGGTAGACTGAATTTCTATTGCCTTTCTTGTTCACTCATCAGGAACGTGTTGTTTTTTTTTTCCCTCAGAGGCCATTTCCCTAGTAAAATCCTTGTACTTTAAAACCCACCTCCTCAACCCAACGCACCTCACTCCTGCTTTCTCATCCCTCCCTCTCCACACGCTTGTTCCCACAGACAGTGGTTATTAGAAATGCATGACACCACGTAACTTCTCTGTGTGACAACTCCAATATGCAACCCCCCCACACAGGGGAGAATAAAAACCAAGTTCACCAGGAATGAAGAGGCCTATTAATTGGGTCTTGCTTCCTGTCGGCCTCTGCCTCCCTCCTTTCCCCTTGTTCACGGCGTACTAGCCACACTTCTTTCTGTTTCACTGATGTGTGGAACTCAGCTGCTGCCTGGAACACAGTCCCTCAGCCAGCTACAAGGTGGCTCATTTGTGCATGGTACACTTGAACGGCACCACTGCAGGGGGCCCTTCCTGATCTTCACTTAGTCCATTCCCTGCTATTTTCTATCCTATTTGTTTTGTTCCATAGGAGTTGTTGCTATCTGAAATTATCTTGTTTACTGTTTCTCCAGATTCTTGCTCCCAGAGGGCACGTGAGAGCCTGGACCCCCGTGCCGCTTCTCACCTCTCCCTCCATGCTGCTGATTCGGACGAGCTCATTGAGGATCAGTAAGGCGCCATGGATCCGATCATCCCGATTCATGCCCTTCTCTTTGGCCAACGTCTCATCAAACCCCTTCTCTGCTTCTTCAAACGTGTGCTATATAGCAAGACAGAATGCCTTGATTAACCCAATGTCCAAAATTAGAAAGAATACAGACCCAGCCCAACTATACCGGGATTCGGAGGTATAAAGGTGACTGTCTAGTGCCTTGTGCCAGAATCGACCATACTGACTTATTGAGGTCTCTTTAATTTAGCTTCAACCCTCACAAGTCCTCAAGGCAGATACCACTGTCAACCCTATTTACTAGCTAAACAAACAAAAAAACCCCACAGGATTAAAGGAATTAAGTAGTTTGCCCAAGGTCACACAGCAAAGTCAAGAATGAAACCCAGGTCTCCTGGTGTGTCCAAAGCTCCTTCTGGCACACTTGCCTCACCAGTCAGTTCTCTTGCAACAGCCATCAGCATAGGACACCTTCTAAATTAGTATAGCCACATTTCATGAATTCTGAGACACTTATTTCTCCATATTCTAACATCTCTGAAATGAGATATCTTTTAATTTTGACAAGAAGGCACTGAATCAGTTTATTTGGCAATTTTCATTCTTCATGATGCATAAAATAATACTGTGGCTATTAGCAGATCTGTGCTTTAATGCAATGCAATAATAAAGTAACTACTCATGCCTACTAATCATAAAAAACTATGGAAGGCCAAGACTAATGTGATATTTGCTGTGGCCAGGGACTGTTGCTGCTCTTTAGGCCAGGGGATTTGCCAGGTAAATGTGCTTTGGTAGTGGCTGGAAGGGCACCATCTCCTCACCCGGTACCACTGTGGTTTCTGCATCTCCTTTGGCTCCCGCTGGGTGGTGAGAATCAGACAGGCACGAAGAGCCGCAACTGCTCCCTCACGGATGGCCTGCTTGGGGTCCCACACAGCCACAAAAATGTTATCGAAGAAGGGTTGCACTTGTTGGAAGAAGAAGGTGGGGACGCTGATGGCCAGCTCACGGAGAACCAGGACCTGGCAGAGAAGGGCAAACTGAGAATTCTCATTTGTATCAGGAGTTTTATTTTCTTGGGACAGTCTCCTGTCACTGTAGGGCCTCTACACCCAAGGAAAAGAGAAGCTTTACCCTTCTAGCCAGGAACCTCGGGCCATAGGAGGCAAAATGAAACTGATCAAAGACCTCAGTGTTGACTCCCCTGGGCTACTTACAAACACAGAAAGCTGGTAACAATCAGAAGTAAGTTCTGCAAGGACAAATGTGTTTCATGCTTTCTGTACCACTACAGTGACAGCCTAGAACCATGCCTGAACACAGCACATTCAATAAATAAGTACTGAGTGAATAAACCTGTTGAATGTTCATTTCATTTCAAATGTTATTATTCATTTCACAGAGGAAGAAACTAAAGGTCAGAGGTTGTCAAGTTGGAGCTCTTAAGTGGCAAAGCCAACAATCAAACCAGGGTGCATATTCATGTTCTCTTCACATAGTACTGCCGCCTAAAGGGGGAGCCACCTGGAAAGCATCTGAGTGACCTTCCCATCCCACCATACCCCCTACTAGATCCTCTCAAAGACATACTCTATCCCAGCTCACAGGAAGGGACAATTCTCGGGAGGAAACAAGGGTCCAATACAACATCACCACTCCTCAGCAAGCACTCACAGCTGCATGTCTCCGGCCCTCATTGCGATCAGCGCCCAGCCATTCCAGGGCTCGCTTCACCTCAAACTCCACATACTCAGCAGTAAAAGTATCCCCTGCCATGGCAAGGCGGCCAATGGCCTTGGATGCCATTTCCATGACAACTGGGTCATTGGAGGGGAGGAGGTTCCGAAGATAGTTGGCAAATCTGCCAATTCGGGTGGCATTCCCGCCTTCTACTCCTATGAGGCTGGCTGGAAAAAAGAGGACGGCAAAAGGTGATGATGGTATACATGATGGCCAGGAATGTATGTGGCTCTGAACTGGAGGATGAAAGAGACACCCTTCATTTACTCTGAGTAACTTTCTAGATAGTCAAGATGCAGATTTTCATTTTAACCAACAGATTTGATATCCATGCCAGAAACTTAAAGTAAAATGATCTCATTTTAGTATACATAATTATTTTCCCAAGAAAAAAGGGAAAACAAACTGAGACTGAATAACTCCTCAGAGGATTAAAGACCAATTCTTGGGAGTTGAAAGTGACCTGCCTTTAATTAACTGTACCTGATTCCACTTTTCATTTGGGAATCCCACTATGTCAAATCATGTTCTACTGAAGCAGCAAGGCATGCAAAGGGTATGCTAGGGCATGGAAAGGCAGCTAGTTCTAGGCTCATCTCTGGCAAACTGGCTGGTCCTAGAAAAGTCACTAATGGTTCTGCGACAGTTTCCACATCTAAAAATACTTGTTTTGCCTTCATCCCAGGTCTGCTGCTAGAATTAATGCCCACATAAGTGCACTAAAAGAGGTTCCTTAAAATTCTTTAAACAAAGATGAAACAAAGCCTCTAGTAGATATTGGATGTAGTGGACAAGAAGGTGAGTGGCTCTTTATTCCTAATTGTAGTAGTGAGTGTTCTTACCAATGGCCAAGATGCCACCTTTCCTCTCATTGGCATCTGAGCTGGAAACCAATTCAAAGATGTGATGGTTCAGCTGATCATAGAAGCGTGTAGACTCCTCTTGACTCATCTGCAAAGGAAGACAAACAATCTCTAATGTTTCTCTGATGCTGATGGTGGTGGCAGGCTGGCATTTCAAGATAAGGAACTGAGAGGCACCAGGCATAGTTCAAACCAAAGACAAAGCAACTATCCCTTTCCATAGTTTTARAGTGTAGAGCAATCAAACTCATGATTTATCTGTTTATGTGACAACTGCATACTGAAGCTCTACTCTTGTACCAGGTACAAGAATGAACAGGACTCCAAGTCTCTGACCTCAAGTCTGTCCTCTATTTAGAAAGCCCCATGTGATCAACTTTGCAAATCATCCCAATCACTGTTATCAAAAGGAAAGAACAGAGGGACTGGCGTGCACTGGGGAGGAAGGAAAGAGAAACAGCTGAATCTATGCTAACTCCTGAACTGTGACCACAGACATGAACCACCACAGAAATGCACAACCACCACAGGGAATCTGCACACGCTCTGCATGGGAGAGGCAGCAGGTCTCCCCAAACAAAATCCTTACTTAGAATCTCCACCAACCTCTCGAAGCTCCATGGTGACATAGTGCTGGAGCTCCTTGGCAGCCTTGGCCCTGGTCTCTTCATTCCGGCTCTTGAGGCCACTGGCAAACTGCTGTAGAACGCTCACATTGCTAGATGTGGTGGTGGTTGTGGTGGCGGCAGCAGGCCCGGTTCCCAGCATCTTGCCTGAGGTTCCCTGGGAAGAAGCTTCCTTCAATATTCCAGATAAATGACTACAATAAATTCATTCACAGCCCTAGTGCCTTGAGAGAGATCTCCACTCATCTCATGTCAGTTGGGGTCTCTACAAAGGTCGGGAGATCTCACCAAGAAACTCAGAAAGCCTACATTCAACATTTGGTGTTTTAAAGTAGCACTGCACTGGAGAGGATGAGACTGTGGGCTGCAGAGTTAGACTGCCTGGGTTTGAAGTCCATTCCAAAGTCATACCTTGAGGAAGGTACTTAAAATTCCTGTTTCCTCACCTAAAACAAGTGAATCATAGTACCTAACTGACAGGTTGAGGTGAGGATTAGATAAGTTAATACATGTTAAAAAGGTTTTCAAGCAGTGCTGGGCACATGGAAAGTTCTTAATCATCATCAGTTATCAATTATTGTAGCTATGTACATGGTATAGTGCCAAGTATCAGAGGAAGGGAGGTAGGGAAAGAATAATAAAAACTGCCCCTTTCCTCTAAAAAGAGCTAAATAGAGGGGGAGACAACTCTTATTCTATACCAGCACTGTCCGGAAGAAACAGGATATAAGCCACAAACATAATTTTAAATTTGCTAGTAGCTCTATTTGAAAAGGCCAAAAAGAGGTGAAATTAGTCTATCTATACATGCTTTTTWAAAAAAAAAAAAAAAATTCCCCCTACACTGGGGTTTGAACCCAGGGGTGCTCTACCACTGAGCTACAAACCGTTTTATTTTGAAAAAGGGTCTCTCGATTTGGGTTACATTTCAAGTGTTCTCTAGCCATGTGAGACTGCTGGTTATTGCAGTGGCCAGCACAGTTCTATATAATACTAGTACAGTCAGAGCTGGAGTATGTCCAGTGGTAGAGTGCTTGCCTATCAAATGCAAGGCCAGTAAGGCCCAAGAACTGGTGGTGGGGGGGGGCAGACACAATAACACATGAAGTGCTCAATGCTCCCTGTGGTGGCACACACCTGTAATCCTGGCTACTCAGGAGGTTGAGGCAGGAGGATTGCAAGTGGAAGTCAGTTTGCACAACTTAGTGAGACACTGTCTAAAAATAAAATTTAAAAGGCTGTGGATGTAGCTGAGTGGTAGAATGCTTGCCTAGAGTGCACAAGGGTCTGAGGTCAATTCCCAAAAAACGCCAACGAAACCACCAGAATTACAATATAGTCTGCTGGCCACATCCATGGGTTCTACCTCTGGGGATCCAACCAACAGAAAATCTTCAGGAAAAACCCTCTCCTGAACGTATAGGACTTTGTTTCTTGCCATTATTCACTAAACAATACAGTATAACAACTATTTATACAGCATTTACATTGTATTAAATATTATAAGTAATCTAGAGAGGATTTAAAGTATATAAGAAATACAAAAAGGCAGTGTGTAGATTATATTCAAGAACTATGCCATTTTATATGAGGGACCTGGACATCTCAAGATTTTGGTATTTTAGTTGTGTGTGGGGAGGGGGGTCCTGAAACTAATCCCCTACAGATTATAATGGATGACCCTACTTCACATTAATTCTTAAGATCATTCATTCCTCAATTATGTACTATTCCTTCCCTTAATGAGCTTACAATCTAGGGGAAATAAAAATAGTCAGACAACCACAATAAAGTGGCCATAAAGGGGCTTAGCCCTGACTGCTATCAGAGTAACACAGACCTATCTCAAGTATGCCTGGATTATATGAGAAAATCCGTCTCTCCCTCTCTCTTTTTTTTTTTTTTTTGTGCACTGGGGGGTTGAATCCGTGGGCATTTACCACTGAGCTACATCCCCAGACTTCTTGAGACTGTTTCATTAAGTTGCCCAGGCTGGTCTGGATCTTGCGATTCTCTGGCCTCAGCCTCTTCAGTAGCAAAGAATACAAGTGTGTTCCACCATGCGGGTCACAAAATTCTCATTTTTGAATCAATCTGTGAGGCACAGTAGAAAACCAAGAATAACTGGTGAACACTTTTCAAATACTACAATGCTGAGAAAAACACCGTAGAAAAAACCGCCTCCTCTTAGGGGAGAGGAAACCTAAGGATCCCGGGTAGTGTGTGTGTCTGTGTGTGTGTACAAGGAAGGAAGCCGACAAGGAATTTCTCTTCCCAGGAAAGATGGAGTGTGTCTTTTTAGGGTCCCAGGCCCCCAGGCCTTTGCTGCGGGCTGAACTCAGTGCAAGTACTCCAAGTCCAACGCCCCAGGGTTCCTGGTACTCCAGGGCTTAAGGGAGTTCCCGTTGGAAGGCTGTCGCCGAGGACGGCCCCAGGAAGGCACCCAGCTCGGCACCCAGCTCAGCCGGGGAGGCGTGCGCGGCGCTGCAGTGAGGCCGGCGCCCCCGAGGCGGGGTCCACCCTTCGCGGGCGGCTCAGAGGAACCGGTGATTGCGACCGGGAAGGAGACCCCAAGGCGCCGCGGCGGGGCCGGAGCTCACTGACGGCCGGCCTTCTCGGCGCCTGGCACGCATGGCGGGCTGAAGGGTCTGGGGTCTCCTGGGGGACCCGGGGGGACGGGCACCGCCTCGCGGGATGGGGGTCAGGTGGCGTCCCAGTCGTGGGGCCGGTACTGAGGCGACTCCACGTTCCAGACGCGCGGCTTCCCCGGACTCCCCCCCACGGACCAGGCTGGCGGTGAGTCTGGACATTCCGCCGCCTCGTAGGGGTCGGTGCCAGGCCCCAGACTCACCGCCCGGCTTCGGCCAAGGGCCCAGCTGCAGCCGCCAGCGCCCGTACCGCCGCCTCAGGCCCCCGGCCCCACCACCCGCCTTCCCCGCTGTCCTCTACGCCGGGAGGGAGAGAGGGCGGCCTTCCAGCCCTAAAGACCAATCGCAAGGCGTAAAACCAAGATAGACTGAAGCACACACCAATAGTGATGAAGGAGAAGTGAAGCTTCAGGACCCGGCTTCTCCAGGGGGCGGGGACTGTTCAAATAGACAAACCACGCGGCCAGTGGCAGGCGAAAGGTGGTTTAGATTCACTCGGGAGAACCAATCGGTGGTGAGTTGATGTCTATCACTTCCACGCACACTTCCGGTGCATCGCTACTACGATTCCCCTCTGCTTGGGGCAGTGGCGGTGTGGAATCAGCTGGTGGCTAAGATCCGTGGCGGGGGTTCGCGACCGCTCTCCCTGTGATTCTTGAAGAGAGGGTGTGAGCGTCGCACGCGCCCTCTAATTACTGCAGCAGCAGATGTACAGCCCCAGGGCTAGCTCTATTTAGTGGTTCGTGATTTTTGTTAAATTTAGTGTGCATTTGGAAATGTTTTTAGATTTTCTCACTTCCTGAAATCACGAGATCATCCTCGAGAAACCATTGCCAAGTTTTAACTAAAAGAACTAGTAAGTAAAAAAAAAAAAAAAATCAAAGAACATCACTTTAAAAATTATTTGAAAAAAAAATGAATAGCAAAAAGGAAAAAAAAAGGAATTAGATTACACCTCTCTTGGTGGGGGGCGGGTACTGAATATTGAATCCAGGGGCGCTCTCCCACTAAGCCACCTCCCCAGCCCTTTATTTTTTTTATTTTAAGACAAGGTTGCCGAGGCTGACCTGGAACTGGTGCTCTTCCTTCCTCCAGCTCCCAAGTTGCTGGGATTACCSGTGTGCACTACACAACTGGCCTGGTTTGGAATTCTTAAATGATTTTTGAATAAAGGATCCCATGTTTTAATTTGCATTGGGCACTGCAAATTATGTAGTTAGTCCTATATACTTGTATGCTATATATATGCATTATAACTTACACTGATATAAATTATGTGTAGCACTCATTTTTACAAATAACATGTGTACGATATTCTTTATTGTAAATTCCATATTGCTAGTTTTCACAGTGTACTTTCTTTGATAATATGTATCTTCCCTGTGGTTGCAGTTAACCAATGAGTATAGTTCTGACATGAATGCTGGTTGATATTTTTTTTAATGTTAACCAGAAAGGGTAAGTGGGCTAATCAATAGATAGGTCAGGACCTCGATAGTGTGGCAAGGCCATGAGCCATGAGAAACTGCTGAATTGGATAGAAAAATGATTCTTCAAATCTTTGGTGTCATTCACAATATAATACTACAGAGCAGACACACTTAAGTTTTATCTGCCTTATTAACTTTTTCTTTGCCACTTTCTCAAGTCTTGGCGACTTAACAGTTATCAAGCATTTGCTGATTTGCYTGGTGTAAATATTCCCACCCTGGCAGATTGCCAGCTGCCAATAAATGTGACTGAATGAAAAGTTGGGAAAAAGTAAACAACAGTCCTCAGTTTTCAGTAGTTTGATTTATATTTTTTCAGCTTTACTGTGGTGCAGAAGCACACCATACAACCACAGTTTTCYATTTTCTGTATTTAATAAATTACAGGAAATACTGGCCTGGCATGGTGGTGTACACCTGTAAACCCCATGACTAGGGAGGCTGAGGCAGGATTGCCAAGTTCKAAGCCAGTTCCAGCAACTTAGTATGGATCCTTCTTCAAAATAAAAACTTAACAATTAATAAAAKAAAAAGGCTGGGGATGTAGGTTAGTCATCTAGCACTCCTGGGTTCCATCCAAAATAAATGCATAACATGAGCTAGTCAACACTTCATTATAAAAAACATTTTATGTTAGACAATTTTGCCTAACTGTGGGCTAATGTGTTTTTGAGCATGTTTAACGTGGCAAGGCTACGATTCACAGGCTAGGTGTACTACTGAGTGTGTTTTCGAAGKACAAGATTTTCAACGTAGGATGGATTCATTGGTGCAACCGTTCCCATCGCAAGTCAAGCAGCATCTGTATTTCCACAAGGCAGACACGCGCGGCGTAACCGGAATAGTGTCTGCTCACAAGAGCCCAGTGAATTGTTGCCTGAGTAAATTAGCGAATCCTATATGAATGAGCGAAAGTGCCCGCTAAATCACAAAGCCCCGCGCCTTGGGGTCTCGGGATGCTAAATGAAGCTGTTCGCAGCAGTCGGGAAGCAGCAGGGCGGGGTGCGCCGGAGAAGTCGCGGATCCCGGGTAGCAGCGGGGGGACCCCGCCCCACCCTCCTGCGCGCCTCGGCTCGGTCCGGCCCGGCCCTGCGCACGCCGCGGCCTCGGTTTCCGGGCGGGCCTCCTGAGGCCGGCGCACAAGATGGCGGCCCCGGCGGCTCGCGGGGGAAGGCCGAGGCGGGGTCTTGAGCTCTAGCCCCCGGCGGGGGCCGGAGATAGGCCTCGCCTACTGGCGGGTGGTCSGGGCGGCGCCACCAGGCCTCGAGGAGTGCAAGTCCCGCTGGTTGCTGCCCCCAGCCCCACMGCCACTCAGTCCTGCCCCAGGTAGAACCCAAGAAAGGTCGGGCCCGGTAGCCCCGCCTGTCCTCGCCTCCGGGCGGTAACTGCGAGTGGCTCGCCCTTAGGGTTGATTTTAGCCACGTGCAGCCTCCATGGCTGCGTTGCAGGCCCCGGGGGAGAAGATTAACATCCTGACGGGAGAGACGGCCAAAGCCGGCGACCGAGACCCGCTGGGGAACGACTGGCCCGAGCAGGACAGGCCACCCCAGCGCTCCTGGAGGCAGAAGTGCGCCTCCTACGTGCTGGCGCTGAGGCCCTGGAGCTTCAGTGCCTCGCTCACCCCGGTGGCCCTGGGCAGTGCCCTCGCATACAGATCCCAGGGCGTCCTGGACCCTAGGCTGTTGGTGGGTTGTGCCGTGGCTGTCCTGGCTGTGCACGGGGCCGGCAATTTGGTCAACACTTACTATGACTTTTCCAAGGGCATTGACCACAAAAAGAGTGATGACAGGACCCTGGTGGACCGCATCTTGGAGCCCCAGGATGTTGTTCGGTTTGGAGTCTTCCTCTACACCCTAGGTTGTGTCTGTGCCGCTTGCCTCTACTGCCTGTCCTCTCTGAAACTGGAGCACTTAGCTCTCATCTACTTTGGAGGCCTATCTGGCTCTTTTCTCTACACAGGAGGTAAGAATTGGCCTGTTTCCTGTGTTGCTGGTCTCAGTTGCATGTACTGGAAACTGCTGGTTTGCATAGGAATTGTAGACATAAGGAATTAGGCTACTTTATCTGAAATCTGTAATGTGTGGTTCATGAATGTTTTGAGAACAGTAAATTGTGAAGATCCTGGCTTGGATAGTGGGCTTGACTCTCATAGATGTATGGACATTTTGTATCTAGTTTTCATTTTGTTGAGCGGTATTCTATAATGCCACAGTTTCCAATTGTGGAATTAAATCTGTAGAGCTCAAAATTATATAGCTAATAACTTCCAACTAGCTTGTTAGGTGACATCTCATAGCAGGCTGATTAAGGTGATGGACAGACAGTAGGGTTGGGCATATTAGAGCCCTATTTATTGAGCACCTGTTATGTGCTATGTACTAGTCTATGTACACCTAGTAGGCACAGATCCCTGCCCTTCTGGAACTTTTTATATTGGAGAGAGAAAGTAAAAATAGATTGATCAGCATTCTGTTTTGCTCAGGACTAAGGGGGTTCCCTAGAAGTGGGCTTTTGTTGGTCACCCTACTTATAGTACAGTTATGTATTTCTAAATGGCAGGGATACATTCTGACAAATGTATCATTAAGCAATTTTGCCCTTGTGGGAATGTCATAATAGAGTATACTTATACAAACCTAGATGGTAAGGTCAGTCGCTCATATGGCCTCTTGATGCAGTCAAGAGATATGGTAGACACGAGACACACGAGGCTGCTGCTGGCATGATCCAGCATGCTATCTTACAGTAGACATTCCTTTAATACATTGAAGAGTGTACTCTTAAAAATAATGGTAAAATTGTACCCCCACTCCCAGTACTGGGGATTGAACCCAGAGATGYTCCCATTGAACTACATCCCTAGTCCTTTTATTTTATTTTATTTTATTGAGACAGGCTCTTTCTAAGTTGCTGAAGCTGCCCTGGAACTTTCTATCCTGCCTCAACGGGGACTATGGGCTGTTTAATCTTCTTTTGTTTTCTTAATCCATTTTAATCCYATGAGACCATCTTTCCATATTTGGTTTTGGTTCATCATTGACTGAGTGTTGTAGTGTTGTTTTGCAGCCCATGATATGAGAGGTGATAAAGTGATTTAGTGGTGGAAAAGTAGAGCAGAGAAGGGGCACCCAAGTTACTATTTTAAGTAGTTTGTTCAGGGTGAGCCCCATCAAAAAGGAACCATCTTAGACTGAAGCAGGTAAGAGGTGAGGGATTTGGCTACATAGATATCTGTGGGAACAGCATTCTAGGAGAAGGGAACAGCAAGTCCAAAGTTCCTCCAGGCAGGAGTGGGCCCGAAGAGTTTGAGGAACAGTAAGGAGTCCAGTTGGTGGAAGGGGTTTGGGGAGGGGAGGGAGTCACAGATTTTTTTTTTTTTAATATATATATATTTCTTTTAATTAATTAATTTATTTATTTATTTTTAAGTGAGAGAGGAGAGAGAGAGAGAGAGAGAGAGAGAGAATTTTTAATATTTATTTTTAGGTTCTCGGCGGACACAACATCTTTGTTGGTATGTGGTGCTGGGGATTGAACCTGGGCCGCACGCATGCCAGGCGAGCGTGCTACCGCTTGAGCCACATCCCCAGCCCCGGGAGTCACAGATTAAATGGGCTTTTTAGGCCACTGGACTTTATTCAAGTGAAGGAACCATTGCAGGTTTTTGAGTAAATGAGTGATATGATGTGACTTCATGTTTTAAAAGACTCTCTGACTAAGGTAATGAAAATGGATGAAGGGGAGTAGGCCAAGGGTAGAAGAGGGAAGACTAAGCAGAAAGCTCTTGAGTAATCCAG